GTCTCCAGTGACCCCTGCACTCCTGTGTCTCCAGTGACCCCCGGCACTCCTTTGTCTCCAGTGACCCCTGCACTCCTTTGTCTCCAGTGACTCACTCCTGTGTTCCCAGTGACTCCTGTATCTCCATCTCCTGTATACCCAGTATCTTCTGTGACTTCCAGAAACCTCACAGGATCCTGTGTCACCCAATGGGCCCAGTTAATCCTGCATTGTACAGTGACCCCAGAGAATCCTGTGTCACCCTGTGAGCCACTGTTACACCTGTTTTGCGCACAGCCTCAGTTATTCTCCTGTATCTCCTGGACTTTCTCTCTCTTAGTGGATAAGACTGACATACTGTATATGTTGCAATCGATCTTCAATATCAATCAATACATCATTCAAAACACCATTTCTTTGTGTAGCCAATCAATACCAATGATTGGTTGTCTGACATTTAGTGCAGATTCTAGGTACAGCAGATAATTACAGATGTTTCTGAATCAGCCAATTAATGTACCTCCATTGACAGTGATCAGTGCTTTCTGTTTTTGGTCAGGCAGTGTGTTTTACACAATTCCTATGTGATTCGATCAGTTTGGATTCCCCAAGCAGGCCACCTAATGATCGTACTGTTTCCTGTGTGACCGCCATTAGGGTGCCCTGTCCTGTCCAATCACCAGATGAAAATAAAGTGCATCTAAATCAAAATATATAATGTAATATGTTGCTGCGTACCAGCGCACAGACGTAGATGTTTGTACATTAGGCTTTTTTCCTTTATTGTCATCTGATGATCCTGCTGGTAGAACACTCCCCGTCCTAGAGTGACAATGCATCACTGTACTGTATCTATGGAGGAGCAGTGTTGTCACCCTAGGACAGAACTGCAGAGCACCCCTTCTGTTCTCTTCTTCATAACACAGAGAAAGTGTTCTGTAGTCCAGAGAGACCTGGGAACAATGTGAAAACAGTCAGCATAGGCAGAGAGTACAGAAAGTTGTCACCTCGCAAGATTTCTGGCAGGATCAACAGTTTTTTTTTCTTGCACTTCTGGAACAGAGTTACAGTCACTTCCAAAAGGATGTAAATAAAAGTCTGCTGTTAGAATATACATAGCTTGGGTTTGTACCAGGGGTGGACTGACTACTCATGGGGCCCCTGGGCAATAAGAGAGCATGGGGCCCCTGTGTCCTCGCCCACACTCAAACCACACCCAAAAAGCCTATCAAAGGTACCAGGGGCATCTCATGGGGCCCCCTACTGACCCTGGGCCCCTGGGCAGTGCCCGAGTGCCCAAATGGTCAGTCCGCCCCTGGTTTTTACTTGTTAAAGTAATTCCTATTGACAAGCAGTTTAAAGCTGAAGTTTAATCTGCTTATATTTTTGCCCCCCCCCTCCCCCATAACATGCTAAGTGCATTTTGAAATAAAACCTGTTTTCATTACATACCCTATTTTAGACCCTGCAATGATATCACTGGACCTCTGTGATTTTCTATGCAATGCAAACAGATTAAGGCTGGTGGGAGGGGCTGGCAGGATGCTGAACTTGGCCTCCTGAAAACATCACAGCAGCCTACCTTGGTACTCCTCCAGAGAGCACTCAGCCCTGATTCAAGCAGTGGACTGAATCTTGGGAGGAGTTATCCAAATATCAAAATGCCTTGATGGATGTTTTCAGTCTGGAGGAGTGGGTGTTCCTAGGCAGGCTGTATCCTCCTGGTAATGCTTGCATGTGATGCTGAGCCTCCATGATTGAAAGAAATTAAATCCAATGAATGGAAAGGGATGGGCCAGGGATAGTCAGGATGGGGAGGAAAGCACTAGATGACGCCAGATGTCCTCCGGTCAGGAAATGAGCTGGGCTCTATCTGATTTGCTGCAGATTCTAGTGCACATTGTGAGAAGCTCACAGTGTGCAGTGAAATCAGGCATTGTCAGTACAGGAGAGGAACCTGCACAACTGTGCAAGACTGAAGTTCAGATTTAAATGAGCAAAAGTGTTAATCTGAAATGATTTTCCTAATCAGGTCACACAGGTTGGGCGCAGTGTGGTCAGTCATCTGGTATATTTTGGTAAGTTTCATTAAACTCACTCGCTGCCCCGTGAACCCTTTGCCCCACAGATAAGTAACCAGAGGAATCATACATCTCTGTATTGGAGTCATGTGTCTGTGCTGACCCAGCCGTCTCACCAGTCATGTGACACTCATGTTACTCTGCCATGTCACATTCCATGCGGAGATTTAACCTGAAGCTGCCAATGTCGGTAGGAATCCAGTTACGGTTCTACGAGCAATTTTCGGAATAATCAGAGTCTAGATTCCTTTAGTGAATCCTGAACTTTATTTCTGGTGCCGTGCAATTAAAAGTCTATTGTTGTTTTCCTGCAGCACCGGGGTCCTGGTCTCAGTTCTTACATAGACTGTAAACTTGCCTTAGGGTGCATTCACATCATTATATCATTGGGTTGAACTACCCTTCCACCCACAGCGAATAGGCGGCGGAAGTGACACCAATGTGAGTTAAAGTGCCTGTATGTCATCCTGCATCGGCAGCTTCTGTGTGGCTCACAGAGCACGCACCCAGGAGCCCTGTGATTGGTGTGTCACCCAGACACAGCAGATCACATTACTGCTGTGTTTGGGTGATCACATGGTTGTACCATGTGATTGCTGTGTCCAATCACAGCAATCACATAGTAAACAATGCAAACTGAAAGTAAACATCGGTTCTCTAACTGATGCTGCAGCCTGTGAGTGTACAGCAACCTGTCAGTGCATGTATGTTCACAGACTACAGTGCCAGCTACCCCGGTGTACCTGATCAATGCCTCCAATGTAGTACAAATAAGAAGTGCAGCCAGCCCCTGTCACCTGACCCAGTGTCACCAGTGCTCACAATGACACCGCCATACACCATACTATTGTCCTGACCACCGCCATACCCCATACCAGCATTCTGATCACCACCATACCCCATACTAATATCCTGATCACCGCCACCACCATACCAGCATCCTGATCACCACCATACACCATACCAGCGTCCTGATCACCACCATACCCCATACCAGTGTCCTGATCACCACCATACCCCATACCAGAGTCTTGATCACCGCCATATCCCATACCAGTGTCCTGATCACCACCATACCCCATACCAGAGTCTTGATCACCGCCATATCCCATACCAGTGTCCTGATCACCACCATACCCCATACTAATATTCTGATCACCACCATACCCCATACCAGCGTCCTGATCACCGCCATACACCGTGCTAACATCCTGATCACTGCCATACCCCATACCAGAGTCCTTATCACTGCCATACACCATACTAACATCCTGATCTCCACCATACCCCATACCAGCGTCCTGATCACCCCCATACCAGAGTCCTGATCACCACCATACACCATACTAACATCCTGATCACCACCATATGCCATACCAACCTACTGATCATCGCCATACCCCATGCACCCTGATCAGCGCCATACCCCATACCAGCACCCTAAACATCGCCATACACATACCTGCACCCTAATCATCACCATATGCCATAACAATGTCCTGATCACCACCATACCCCATACCAGCATCCTGATCACCACCATACCCCATACCAGCACCCTGATCACCACCATACCCCATACCAGCACCCTGATCACCACCATACCAGCACCCTGATCACCGCCATACCCCATACCAGCACCCTGATCACCACCATACCAGCACCCTGATCACCACCATACCCCATACCAGCACCCTGATCACCGCTCTACACCATAACAGTGCCCTGATTACCGCCATACCCCATACCAGCACCCTGATCCCTGTGCTCCAATTCAGAGAGTTTGCTTAGGTTGAGATGATGTCATTATCTGCTGCAGGCAGAATGCAGCATTTTCTCAGTCTCCTCTCCCCCCAGTGATCAGCCTGCAACAATGTAACTGTTTAGAAATTCACAAGGTGAGAGAGTGCGGCAGGGTCTGATCTCTGTCAGACATTTGTGAACACAGGCAAGAACTGTGCAGGCACCAGGATTTGCATGATTGTGTTATTTCTAAACCAGCATCTCTCAGTCCAGGAAATAGATGGTGACCCTGGATGATCCATGAACAAAGATGGTGCCGTCCTTCTGCAGAGAAAAGCAGATGGAGGCATTGACAGTGGGGGTGCTGTGTTCTTTGTGAGAGATAACACATTCCTGGGAGTCTAACGCTCACATAACTAAGCTATCTTCTGGAGGTGAGCACTCCTCATTTCTCTCCACCAATAACAGCAGCTTGGTCACTGACCCATGGAGAATATTTTGCAGGGGCCCCTGGCCTTCAGTGACACCCCAACTGTTGCCCATATTTGTCTTTTATGGCAGGATCAGTTAATAATCCTCTAAGGTTTATGTGCATCTCTTATAGGAGTTGGTTCACTGGAAGGAGATTAGAGTGTCAGCTTTGCTGGTCAATTTTCAAGTGCCTCTTGGAGTGAAAGCAAAATGTTCTCTCATGTGGAGCTTTAGATATATTAAGGGGAGGTCAGCAGGGGCAGCTGCCTAAGGTGCAGCTCAGGGAGGGGGCACGGCACCTTAAGGAACTTAGAAAATGCCTTTGGGGTTAGTGCTTGCTGCTGACAGCTGACTCCAGATAGGGTCACCGGTGACACCTCGCCTACAGGGGAATTGCCAGAGTTCAGCTTTCATTATCCCTCGTGGAAGTGGCACTGCCATGGGTCCAACCGAGGAGAGGAGACGCCATGGGATGATGTCAGGTGAACATTAGTGATTTTATCTCCTTACTACACAAATTAAATAAATTATGTCTTCGGTTGATTTTTGCACGTGGTTTTTACTTGTTTCATTTTTGTATATTATTTATTTATTTCTTATTTCTTTACAGTTATTTATTTTGTTATTATTTGTATTATTAGTTAATATGATGATTATTATTACTATTATTTCTTTTCTCATTATATATATTTATATTGAACACTTCACCATTTTATATTATTATATTACCCATATTGAGGGGTTTCTATAATCCTGCCTGCACTGAGTTCCCAAGGGTCTGTACACCTGCTGTGCCCATTATAAGGGGTTTCCACCATCCCTGTGCTGAGTTCCCAAGTCTGTATACTTGATCTACCCAGTATACGGGGTTCCCACAATCCCTGTACTGAATTCCCAAGTCTATACACCTGTGCCTATTATGAGGGGTTCCCACCATACCTGTACTGAATTCCCAGATCTGCGCACCTGCTGTGCTCAATATGACTGTGCCCATTATTCCCACCATCCCTGTACTGAATTCCCTAGTCTGTATACCCCCCTGTGCCCAATATGAGGGGGTTCCACCATGCTTGCACCAAGTTCCTTGCTCTGCACAAGTTTTGTGCCCATTATGAGGGGCTCTCACCATCCCTGTGCTGAATTCCCAGATCTGCACACCTGCTGTGCCTTTAATGAGAGATTTCCATCATCCTTGCATGAAGTCCCAGGTCTGTACACCTGCTGTGCTCATTATGAGGGGTTACCATCATCCCTGAACGTAGTTCCCGGGTCTGTACACCTGCTGTGCCCGTTATGAGGGGTTCCCACCATCCCTGTGCTGAGTTCATGGGTCTGTACTCCTGCTGTGCCCATTAGGGGGGGTTCCTGGGTCTGTACTCCTGCTGTGCCCATTATGAGGGGTTCCCTTCATCCCTGCACTGAGTTCCCGGGTCTGTACACCTGCTGTGCCCATTATGAGGGGTTCCCATCATCCCTGAACGTAGTTCCCAGGTCTCTACTCCTGCTGTGCCCATTATGAGGGCTCCCACCATCCATGTGCTGAGTTCCCGGGTCTGTACTCCTGCTGTGCCCATTATGGGGGTTCCCACCATCCCTGCTGAAGCTGTATTCATTTTTATTAGGGAGAATTTAAAAGGAAGAACAGGAACACACAATGGTGTGCAGGAACAGAGGCGGAATCTATTGTCTGGACATCTTGCAGCTGGAGTTCCCAAGAGATATAAATAAGCCGGCGGGTGATTCATCCCACCAATCCCCACCTATAACCGAAATATCACTCTGACATAATTGCGTGCTGCTTTCTGCATCATTGTTCATTTTATTTTGATTCTTCTCTTCCTCAGATTATTCCATTTTGTAGATTTGTGTTATTATCAGCTGCCCAGAGTACACCGCGACTTATCACAGCGTTCCGTAACTAACTGGACAAGAGCACCTCTTCACCCTGGGCTGCTTGTTACGTGCACGCTACTTACATTAGTAACAAGCTTGTCAGACTGTATTCCTGTAATTGACATGTGAGATTACACGGCACCCCCTCCCTGCCCATCCACCCACATCTCACGCATCACCTCTGATTACTGGAGACAGGTACTCCCTGTACAAGCACTGCCTGTAGTGTGCGTCCACCACCTAGTGGACAGACCTGACATTCACACAGGGCTGCAGATGGTGCATGTACTAAAGCAGGGGTGCCCAACCTGCAACCCAAGGGCCGTATGAAGCCCAAGTTGGCTATGAATGCGGCCCAACATAAACCTGTAAACTTAAAAATGTTGATTTTTAATTATTTTTTTTAATAAAATAGCATTTACACTTCGCAAAAAATGCAGCCTAAGAAAAATGTCTCGGTGTCTCTTTACTGGACGTTACAGGTCCGTGTCAAATATCGCACTAGTTTTATGTTGTATTCTTTTACTTTTATAATAAATATTAAAAATACAATTATGTTTTATTACTCAGATAGGTACATTATCTATGTCAGTAATCGTTAACTTGTGATCTGCCTGACTTTTTCTGCTCATCAGCTATCCATATTGTTAGCGTATATTATGTGTGGGCCAAGACAATTCCTCTTCTTCCAATGTGGCCCATGAAAGTCAGACGTTTAGACACCCCTACATTGAAGGAAAAACTGTTATTATGAACACATAAAAGCTTCCATTGCTGACCTCCTTGTGAAAATAGCAGTTGTCTGACTGTCTTTGGCATTACTGCTTCAAGTTACTACATTGAACAAGTTTGCAACAAGTTAAATTATTACTACTGGGCTACATACAGGTGAAACTCAAAAAATTAGAATATCGTGCAAAAGTTCATTTATTTCAGTAATGCAACTTAAAAGGTGAAACTAATATATGAGATAGACTCATTACATGCAAAGCAAGATAGTTCAAGCTGTGATTTGTCATCATTGTGATGATTATGGCTTACAGCTCATGAAAACCCCAAATCCACAATCTCAGAAAATTAGAATATTCAAGGATTCTTTCTTGAGGTGTTAGGAAAGTAAAAGCTCCCATGCCAATAGATTTGGGGTTCAAAAGTCTAAGATTGTGATTTGAGATCCAAGGTAATGAGTTGAGGTCCAAGGTGATGACCTCGAGGTCCAGGGTGATGACTCGAGGTCCAGGGTGATGACTCGAGGTCCAGGGTGATGACTCGAGGTCCAGGGTGATGACTCGAGATCCAAGGTGATGCATTTTGAAGGCTGTAAAGTGTCTCCTTCATCAGGGCTAAAAGCAAATATACACTATATGCCAAAGGTTTGTGGACACTTGACCATGACACTTATGTGTGCTCGTTGGACCTCACATTCCAGAATCCTAGCCATAGCCCCTCCCCCGCTTGCGACTATACCATCCTCCACTCTTTTGGAAAGACCTTTCACAGGATTTTGGAGTATCTCTGGGAATTTTGGCCATTTTTTAGGTCAGGTACTGATGTTGGATGAGAGGATCTAGCTCATAATGGGAGTTACAATTCTCCCCAAAGGTGATCAGTAGGGTTGAGGTCAGGACTCTATGAATGCCACTCCAGTTCCTCCACACCAAATTGGTCAGACCACGTCTTTATGGAGCTGGCTTTGCGCATAGGGGCACAAACATGTTGGAACATAAAAGGTCCTTCACCAAAATGTTTTCACAAGGTTGGTTCCAAATTCTTACCTGCATCCTTTTGCCACCATTGTCTTTTGCGCTTGCTTAATCACAGCGTTCTCCAGAGTCCTTGTGCCTTCTCTGTGCTTTCCTCCAGCACTCAGTGTGTGGCACTGTGCCTCCTTAGCTGTCAGTGTTTGCAAATAACTCTACCCCCTTGTATGTACCTGTGTCTTCTAGTGTCTCTAGTGTGCCCTGTGACTATTAGTGCACCCAGAGCATCCTGTGTCATCTGGTGACTCCTAGTGATCCCCTGTGCACCCCCTTTTCTCTAAGTATTCCCTAGTTAGAGTCTTCTAGTGACTCCAGTGCATCCCCTATTGCTTTGTGACTCCAGTGCACCTCAAGGCAATCTGTGTTATCTAGTGACTCCTAGTGCACCCCGTTCTCCTCTGTGACTCCAGTGCACCTCAAGGCAACCTGTGTTATCTAGTGACTCCTAGTGATCACCTGTGCACCCCCTTTTCTGTAAGTATTCCCTAGTTTGTCCTGAGTCTTCTAGTGACTCCAAGTGCACCCCCTATTCTCCTTTGTGACTCCAGTGTACCTCAAGGCAACCTGTGTTATCTAGTGACCTCTAGTGCACCCCGTTCTCCTCTGTGACTCCAGTGCACCTCAAGGCAACCTGTGTTATCTAGTGACTCCTAGGGCACCCCCTTCTCCAGGTATGCCTTAATGTGCCCTGTATCTTGTAGTAACTCCAAGTGCATCCCTGTGCTCCCCTGTGACTCCAGTACACACCAGAGCACCCTTTGTCATCTATTGATGCCTTGTGTGCCCCTGTGCATCCCCTTTAGATTACGTATGCCTCAGTGTGTCCTGTGTCTTTTAGTAATGTCAGGTGTGGCCCTGCACTCTCTGTGACACCAGTGCTCCCCCATGGCATCCTGTGTCATCTAGTGACTCCTGGTGTGCCCTGTACCCCTCTGAACTAAAGTTAGAATAGGAATTGACGTGCCACACAATTGCTCAGTAGTCCAGATACAATTTTATTTCAGTAGGATCAAACAAACAAAAGGATATCAACGCATTTCAGAGGTTCAAAGACTCACCCTTTATCTGGGCTTCTCAAGTTTGAGGACCTGTATGAATCTTGGCAGCAGCAGACATGGCCCTCTGTGACACCTGTGTCTCCACGCAGCCTCTGATATGTTTCTGCAGCATCTGAACTGTCCTTCCATCAGTGGATGTAGACCAAATGAATTCTTTTGGAATGGCTCTCATATTATTTGTACACACCCTGGATTCCCTACGAGTCCCTTCTTTGGAGCCCTTTCATTTCTGGGAGCCTTTGTTGCACTGCAGATTTTACTCTACACTGGGAAATCAATTAGCGTTTGGATCCAGCACCTCTGACTATTCCTAGGGACTTTTGCATGACAGATTCCCTTTAAAATGGCTATACTAATTATTTTTCTCATATTATCAAACGGATCCTGTGCTTGCAAGATATCCTTGTCCAATTCAGCCACACATTGCTGTAAAAAAAATACTCAACACCATGCTGTATATAACATATTGTGAGGTTGCTCTACGTCGACTGAACTGGTCCACTATTTGTTTTGTGTGACCTTTAAAATTTTAACAATTCTGTGTGAATTCAGGAATCCATGTGTCCAAAATGTGACGTGCATCACTTAATGATCAGACTACAAATTGTAACTTTGTAGCAATTTACAAAGTCAGAGGCTGCAGCAGGGGGCTGATCTGTGCAGGACATTTGCGAATACAGTCAAGAACTGCAAAGGACCCAGGATTTATGTGGTTGTGTCATCTCTGGACATTTAGCGGTTATCTCCTTCCTTGTGCCTGGCTCTGCAATATGACCGATTTGTGAAGTGTGTTTGTATGAAAACTTTGATGGAAGGTATCTGACATTTCTTATTGTTCTGGTTTGCAGGCTGCGCAGGCTGCGGCAGGGACATCAAGAACGGCCAAGCCTTACTAGCGCTGGACAAGCAGTGGCATCTCGGCTGCTTCAAGTGCAAATCCTGCGGCAAAGTTCTGACCGGCGAGTACATCAGCAAGTAAGTATTTACGTTCGATCTGGGTCGTTCCAGATGCTGGACTGTGCTTTTATTGGGTTTCAGCACAGCTGAGCTTATGAAATATATATTCATCCTTCTCTTATTAAAACTGCTTAAAGGGGCATATTCTGTGCTGTTCCGGAGACTGACCTCGAGTTACGTCAGCTTCCTGACCTCATGCTGATAACATGAAGAGAAAAAGAAGAGATAGGGAAGTGCGACAATTGTGTGCAACATGACTGCGCTTCCTTCTCTCTTTTTTTCTCTTTTTCTTATAAGCTGTGTACATCACCTTGTACATGGTATTCTCCTGGGATAGCTGCGTTGAAATTTGTGTTTGGCGTTTTCTATATATGGCATGGAGAATGGAGCGGCTGCGAGGGTGCTGACTGCTTGGCAATCCCAGAGGTAAGTACAGCGGAGACTGGGGTGTGTTGTCTGATGTTAGTGCACATTTACATTTTTTTCTGTAAAGGTGAACTAACACTTTAAATTGACCTGCAGATAATGAATGTGAATCTATGTCTGAGACTGGACAATGTATAATAAGTATATATAGTAATATAATTACTGAACAGTAGAAAAGAGCAGTCCAGACCTGCCGGACAAACTGCAGACTTCACAGCGCTGTAGCTGTACGATCCCTGTACTCTTTGCTTTATGTACA